TCTGCCAGCACCTCACAGAGCTGATCAGCACATTCCTTCAACACTTTCCTGGGGATGTTGTCTGGGCCAGATGCTTTGTGCGGATTAATCCTCCTGAAGGTACTCCTTAGAACCAGATACTTAGTTTCCAGATGTTTTGTAACCTTCTCCAGCCTGAGGAGCATCAACAACTCTTTTTCTGAGCTCCTCAGAACCCTCCTTTGTTCCACCAACATGTTGTGAAGATCAGACTCTTACAGATCCTGTTCTTTAGATCAAACAGGGAGTCACTCACACCTGATCATCACACCTGGCTCTAATTTCACCTTCAGATTAACTGATAATCCTGGAGGTTCACCTACTTTTACCACAGACATGTAACATTAGATGATTGTCCTCAGTCTAATATTTGTCTCTTGGGTTCTTTTTCTACTTTTAGGACTCGTGTGAAAATCTGAAGACGTTTTAGGTCGGACTGAAGCAGAAATATGGAAACATTTAAAATAATGGACCAACTTTGAAGCTGTGAACATTGTTTTGTGTAAAACTTACTCGGTGCAGCTGGAGGGAGCGCTCTGTTCCAAGTGGATCTTCCTGTCGGAGCCGAGCGAGCCGGCTGCTTTTTGACTTCTTCAACGAGGAAGAACTTGATTCCTGTAAGCTCCACGAATGTCAGAGAAGAGGTGGAGCTTTGAGACGTGAAGCCACACATCACTGCCCAACCTGTACCGTGACTGCAGTGATGAACATTGTGTTTCAGTAAGGTGAAGCCCCGAGTCTCATCACTGCTCTAGCTCAAGCCTGGCTCACTTCCTGCAGCACTTCAGTTCAGCTTTGCCTCAACACGTTCTGACATTTAGAGGAACCTGGTTAAATACTAAAGCAGCTTGAATAACATGCACATTTTTACTGGAAATACTTAGTGATTTACAGTTCAGTTACTTATAATACTAAAACACAGATATCCGCCCTGTTCTTACAAAGTATGATCTATTTTATTAACTGTATTGATGTTTAATAACTATTTAGTATCGCTGCCTTTGCCTTTTTTTACTGAAAATTAGAAAAGACACAACAACGTTAATCTGGCTGCCTGCTAAACATAAAGTTACTGTTTAGGCCTTTATCTAAAAAAAAAAAAAAAAAAAAATCCAGTTTAATGTTAATTTCATCAACTGGTTTGTTCCAGGAACACTTGTAGAAGTTTATTTCAGGGATTGCATTTCTTCATTTTGTTCCTGAAGAACGTGGCGATGACGTGAGCAGCACTAACATCTGCTGCACGATGGCTTCACTCACCGACAAGAGCTGGGAAGCTCCTGGAAGGGAACGTTTCAAGGAAACCTGGAAGGGAACGTTTCAATGAAACCTGGAAGGGAACGTTTCAATGAAACCTGGAAGGGAACGTTTCAAGGAAACCTGGAAGGGAAC